CTGTACACAGCGGTGGAGCACCTGCAGAGTTTGGGAGCCAATGTGGTTGAAGTCTCTCTTCCAGAGATGGAGGAAGCTCGAGTAGCACATGTAATCTGCATTCTCAGTGAGATGAGAGACTTCCTGCAACCTGACTTCAATAAACATTTCCAGGAAATGGTAAGTAGTAGCAGCTTGGAGCAATGGCAGTAGTTGTCCTGGGCTGATGCAGCACAAATATCATGTCAGTGAGAAACCTGAGGCTTTCCTCCTTCTATGACAAACTACCTGTTGGATGACTACCAGTACAGGAGAACAGACCTGGAAGAGAACTCCTGGGCTGTCACAATTCAGTTTCTTGCAAGCAGAACCTTGATCAGTGTTTTTTATTTCAGAATTTGGACACTCGGGCTAACCTGGCCTTGGCTTGCCAGTTCACAGCTCTGGATTATATTACGGTAAGGAACATAGTGGTGAAGGCCAAAGGGAGGTATATAGTGAAATTTTACAGGTGGGGTAGAGGCTTAACTTCCCCATACATGTGGGAACATGTCACCCAGCTCTAACTGCTCTCAGCTGTGAAATCATGCTGAATGGTGGGGCACCACAGAGGACATGCCACCTGTCCTGCATCGTGAATCCAGATTGCAGGAATGGTGTCTTGCAAAGGTAGAGGCTCTAATGGGCAGTCTGTCAACATCAAACATGAGCCTCGTGAACCAAGAGGTTCTGGTCAGACACTGTTCTCTCTGCTTGCAGGCAAATCGGCAGAGAACTCGGAGCATGGCATTTTTGCGAGAGATCTTCAGCACTGTGAACTGTATCCTTACACCAGGTATTGCCATTCTTGGCCAAAGAGCCAGTCCCCAACAGCTCTGTGGTGCCTTTTAAGAACAGTCACTCCATTAACTTTCCCACCTCAGTTTTTAAGAGTATGACTTCTGTGCAAATACTTTGCTGTGCCTCAAGCCTTTAGAGGATAATGCAGCCTGGTTAGAAAGACTGCTGCGTATTTCTAGATTTATTGGTTGTATCCATGGCAGTGACAAATTCTCCCTTGGTGCTTGAGACAGGAGGTATAGAGCCAGCACATACGCACAGGAGGGACTGGATATGTACTTATGTATGCAGTGTTCTTGCTCTAAATACAAGCTAACTGCTTTATTCGTAAATCCCAGCAACTTGCATGAGTTTGCATCACCACTGTGATATCAAACATGTGGCTTTAGTGAACTGAGCTGTTCTTTAAAGATTGCCCACTGTCTGACTCTTCTTTTGCTCTTTAAGCACTGCATCAGGTTGCCCAGAGAGCCTGTGGAATCCTCATCCCTGGGAATATTCAAAAGCCATTTGGACATGGTCCTGGGAAACCTGAGCTAGCTGACCATTCTTGAGTCAGAAGGTTAGACAGGATGACTTCTTGAGGTCCCTTTTCATTACAGTCATTTTGTGATTCCTCCACAGCTGTTCCTTGCACTGCCCCAAGAATTTATGAATCTGACCTCTTGACTGGGTGCAGCGATATGTCCTTCACAGTCCGCTCCATGAGGTAAGAACAATGTTACTTGCAGTACACAAACAAAAGTTTGGGAACAGCTGGAGACTAGCTGCACCAACTGAAGAAGCTCAGGCTGTAAGGCAGGAGAGATTGATGCTAGCTGCCTCTCCCAAGAAAGGATGAATTTGCTGCTGTCCCAAGTCAAGAATGCTGATTACAGCTTTTCCCCCCAGGTTCATTCAGCTTGGTAACTTCACTGGGATACCAGGCATTGTGGTCCCCATTGGATATTCTACATATGGGCTTCCTATCAACCTCCAGGCAAGTACTGGATTTTTGTTGAAAACTGGGTCACAAAATCCCCAGCTAGATTTGTCTTGAGCCACTTATAACCAGGTTCCTGCTGTTCCACACAGCTCATTTGAGGAATTGGCAGCTACTAGAAATAGAAGTTTTAACTTGTGGGTGATTTGCCTCAGAGTAACTCACTCCTGAAGGGCAGAGGGACTCTTCAGGTATCTTTGAGATAGATTTCTTTCCCTGGCTATTTGCATCGGTACCCAATATTTGTCACTACTCTTTCCTCTCTTATTTCTCATTTCCTTTAAGTCCTTCCCTCTTGAAATGGGTCACATGTAATGGAAAGGTCCCTGTCTTGCAATTAGAAGTCACACAGCTGCCTTTATCCCAAATGCAGTGATGTCATACTTACTGGGGTAAAAGAGGAAAACTTGTCTTTTTGTGATGTTGGGGGGGTGGGAGGGAAATTCTGTTTTCTGTTATGTATTCTGGGGCTTTCAAGAGTGTCTATATGTGATGATGCTACTTTGTTTTTTTTTTTCCCCTCCTTTCACTCTCTGCTTCTCTCATCTTCTCCCAGGTCATGGCAAAATGGTGGGATGAAGCTGTTCTTCTGAGGATTGGCCTAAAGCTAGAGCAGTTCCGTTCCCAGACCAAAAAACCATCCATTTATTATGACATCCTTGCATGACAGAGTGACCGAGTTGGGGATTAAGTCTTTTTTTTTCCCTAGTCTGACCTGACCAAGTATTAAGAGTGGACTTGTTTTCAATGTTTATCTGAAAGGCTTAGTAGCAGGCTCATTTGAGGAATGGGGATGAACCACTGATCTAAGGAGGCACTGATGCTGAGCAGACACAATTTCTGCTCCCTGCTTGTCAGATGGCCTAGTTTATACTAGGGAGACCAACTGTGCTAGTTCCTTGCTTTGTTTTTGCAGGAGAAGCTGCAACTATCTTCTACAATTTCTTCCCACGTAGGGGTCCTGTGTACAGATGGAAGACTACCTGCATCTACAGGACTGCATGCAGGTAGTTCATACTACTGTAAATGGAAAGGTACAATCTCTAGGCCTTAAACCTTCCAATGGAACTTCTCCTGCTCTAGGATATAACAAAGGTCCTGTTTTTGAAGGGGAAGGGCAGCGAATAATGCCTAGCTCTCTTGGAATGAGGAGGCTCTTAACACACCTGCAATCAGGCAGTGTTTGTTTTGGCCCTGTACTTAGTCCCTCAGAGCAAAGCAGAAATCCCATAGGTATGGAAGTGTCACTGTGCTTGTCCCTCATACTGCCAACACTCTGGGTGTGCTCACTGCCTAAGAGTCCTGCCTGCCTTCAGCCTTGCATGGAAGGGAAGGAAAAATCAGAGCAGGAAAAATCAGAGCAGGAACCCTCATTAACTCTGACCCAAACCCCTGTTTCAGGGTTCTGGCTTTCCTTTGCACATCTCTATTTCCCAAGCTAACACCTGGAGGGTCTCTTTTTCTTCCGCTGGTTGCTTGAGTATAAACCTACTATCATTTAGATGTCCAAACGGAATAAACTACTGGATAATGCAGAGAAAGTACTGTTCTAAGAGTGCTGAGGCAGCTATTAGAAACAGCTGAAATTTGTAGGAAATGCTACTGAACTACTGCGAAAGTTGAGGCTGGATGCAAGAAAGTGTTGCACAAAGCCACGTGCAGCAAAGAGCCTGCTCTAGATAAGATGCCAGCCTTCTCTTATCCCAAAAGCACTTCCTGAAGTAATCACGGTAGAATTAAGACATGGATTACTACATAAAGCATGGCATGGCTCTAAGCCACAGTATTGTGTTTTACTGAAAGGCTTCAGGCTGTAGGTTCATGAGTACCTGTGTCCCGCCAGCAGCACTAGGGCCACATGAAAGAAGAAAAGGCCTAGGAGCGACTAAACCTAAGCATTTGCGTTCATTTCAGGGTAGCTTGGGGTTAATGCTCAGAGGCATCTCCTGTTGCCTACCTGATCAGGTATCCTGGGCTTGTGGTCAGGCTGCTGGAGGAGCTGCCCTACAGACAGGAGCAGAGATCACTGTGTTCTTATGTTGCTTGGAAGGAAAGAAGCAGCAGAAAGTAGTTGCAGTTTCTCCCAAACTCAGTAGTTTTGGGGTTTTTTTTCCCCCATATCTATCCACTGTTTAACCATAGCTAGCTCTTTACTAATGGCTGAAGTTGTCAGATGGCATCTGAATGGAAGAACTTGCACTACCATCTCCTTAATTACCTGAGTTAAAGCATCAACTCCTACCATCAGCTGTCACCAGCATCCACAGTTAAATTAATTATATGTTTGACAGTCTTTGACCTTTAATTCCTCTGCGATACTGCCAAAAGTGTTTGTTCTCTAGATTCTAGTACAGTTTAGCTTTATGAGGAATGGTTTAAAAGCAAAGTATTTCCTCTGTTATTAACCATAAGTTATTAAACACTGTCAACATACCTTAGAGTGAAACACTGCTGAAATGTTAGCAATAAGGGTGGTGGTAAATGTTTGACAAGAATAAATTTCTGCAAGGAACAGTACTGCTTGAAGAAAATAGCTGAATATTCCTAATTCTATGCTATTGCTCGAGGGCATAAAGATGGATGTCTAAAATATTCAATTACCATCCTGCTAGGTGAATCTATTTATTTCAAATCCATTCTGAAATTATTTACTACCCTAAAGTTATGATTTGAATGTTTAGTTCATTCCCTTGGCATAGAGAGGGAGCTCAAGTTGCTGGGAGGAGAGAGGCTAAAGTAAATAGTTCATTATTTTTAAAAAACAATACTTGCATCCTGCTAACAGTGGGAAGAAAGAACTGAGAGTTTTTACTGACTGACAGTAACTTAGTCACTCTTTTCACACACTGCTTCCTGCCTTTGCCTAAACGTATCTCATCAGTGCACATTTTCAATGCAAGACTTTCCTGGTAGTGAGGTTACCAAAATAAACTTTACTTATCTATGTGAAAGGCCCCAGTGTTTTCTTTTTTTCCCCTGGCTGTCAGCGTATCCAAATTCTAGAGCAGACCTGCTGTTCCTAATTAACAGCAGTTCTGTCCCCACAGTATGCAGGGGCAGGGCAGTTCTGTGAGCGAAGCAGACACAGTGACCACACACACAATCCTGTTGCTTCACATAGATATATGTATGGGTATAGATATACGGTATATACACATCCACTTTTTTTTGGTTTTTATATATATAAAATAACACCTTGTTTATAAAGCGACATTTAATTGCCACTGGTTCCCTTCCCGCCCCACAAAAACAATAGTATACAAAATATAAAATATTTTAAATATTTATAAACGCCGCAAGAAAAAAATAGAACTGTACGAAAATATTTTTTTTTTTTCTGAGGTTCCCTCCCTGCCCTGTGGGAAGAAAAAGAGAAGGGGTACACATTTGGCCGGCCTAGTGTGCCTTGAGTCCATAGTTATTAAGTGGGTAGGAGTATGCCCTGCCTAATACTATCCGGTCCCGGAGGAGCTTAAATAAGACATAATAATTGCAGAAAAGGATGAGGGCCATGGAGAGGGTATGGTTCCACTTCTCTGAGCGCAGCAGGGAGTAGAGCTGGTAGCAAACCACACTGCCTTCAATGAGGATCAGCAGGTTGAGCAGCCGTAATGGACGGTGGAAAAGGAACTGCAGGGAAACAGTTAAAAAGGACAGATTTCTGTAATTTGTTGCAGGGTTAAAGGGAGGAGGGCTATGTATATAATGCTGTCAGGCACCACTGAGTCACTGACCACTGTGGGGCAGAAGAAATGCTTGTACTCCAGCCACCCCCAGGTGCTACTTAGGGAAAACAGAATAAGAGGTGGCATGTAGAAGTGGCATTTTGCTTGAGAAGGGGAGGACGGGCGAGATAACCAATTGGCCTCCTGATGTACTTTCCTGTTTCCCTCAACGATGTTAACTAGAACCCTCTTGGGAATATGCCACTGTCTGATGAGAGAGCTGTGTCACCTTGATGAGGAAACACTGACAAGGCAGCTGTGGCTTCCATCTTGCCCAGAGGTCACTGTAATACTGGAAGGGGAAAACCCCTCTCCTGCTAACAGGTATTTTGTTTAGCAGCAACAGGCTGTTGTGCAGCACTGAACTCTGTTCTGCACAGTCTGCTCTGCTGCAGCTATGTTTGAGCCTCTCCTCCCTCCCACAGTCATAAGGCATCAAGCAAGAGAAGAGATACTTGCGTAAAAGCGGGCATGGGACACATCTGAAGGCACTGCTACGTTGTAAGGCCCAACTGCTTTATACAGGCATCGGCTCCGTCGCACCAGAACTCCTTGTGGCCATATTGTGTTTTCTGACCAGCTGTGGGGAGAGAATGCCAGAGCTTTAGCATCTGTGCTCCCAGCTCCTTGGATAAGGGTTCACAGGAATGGACTGCATCTTGAAAAATACCAAAGCCTCTGCCACAGGGACATGTCCTAGCTCCTACTGGAAAAGCAGAGAGACGTGATCACAAGCCCATCAAATGGACTCTGAGTAATGTGAACAAACGACTCCCAGTGCAAGAACCTCATCCACTGCATGAGAGGGGGCCACCCCCCGCCCCTGCACAAGATACTCTCCAGTGGCCAAGAAGAATGTCAGCCTTCCTTTTTGGGAAGAAGCCAGCAGTGACTGGAGGAGCTCAGACAGCTCTCTAGAGCAGACATTTCTGTTTCCAGGGAACAGTAAGGCCAGTAGAGTTGCATGGGGAGTGCAGAAGTGTTCTCAGTAGATATGCACTGCTGGTATTTGCTCCTCTACTAGAACGTCTTCTCCTCCCCTTGCGAGGCATGCCAACCCCTCCCCGTGCCCACACTCACATGTGCTGTGGAGCATTGCTGTAGGAACCGTGTTCTAGTTTCTGCCACTTTCCAAGGTGGGCGGCTGACCTGTGGAGCAGGTCACAGTACTTGGGAGGCAGCAGCTGAGTGGTGAGCATGACAAAGGCATTGATCCACACCATGATGAGGTGCTCACAGGACCAGCGCATGTCGTAGTACTGGGTGCTCTGCAAAGAGACCAGACAAGAACTTGGCACCACTGTCACAAGACAGACAAAGGAATGACAAGGGACATACTGCGTATGCATCCAGCAGACCCACACCACACGTTACAGGCATGCGCTTTTGGACCAGTGATTTCGGAGGGTTACAGCTTAGGAAACACTCAAGACTCCCTTCTCCTTGACTTGAAGGAGAAAGGGCAGGGGATGATGCTGCAGCTGGTGCATCTTCTCCTCCAGGAACAGGTAACAAGGCAGTTTGCTTGTCACAGAACTGCCCCAGGAGCACCAATTGCACCAAGACTGCTACATGGAGCCCTGCCCGTTTTCTGCACCAACAGGAGCTTGTCCAAGTTAAAAAAATGACAGATGAAAATATACAACCCGCACATTGACAAGAGGCTCTTGGATTTAGCTTGCTAAGCATCCTAGTTGGCTCTAACAGCCTGACCACCAAAGCCTCTGATCCAAGCACTCAAAAGGCAAGATGCTGGATCTGAGACGGGTAACAACAGGCTCCCTTTTCTAGGAAGAACACAGCTATCCATCTGCCTAGGACAGGGGGTGGGAGAAGGGGAGTTAGTAAGTGGGGTGATGGGACTAGAGGTGCATCACATTTATGGCAATACCTATCTGCCAACCAGGAGCAGTACTAGTGCACTCCGAATGCAGCCATGCTCCGCTATCCGGGCTGCCAAAGGGGAGACAGAGAAAAGGGGAATTAACCAGGAATCTGGCCTGGCAGCAGTTCACACAACAGTCAGAAGGAGACGGCGGGCAGGGGCACAGGGAGAGCCAGACAACAGCTACCTTCACAAAACACAGTGGCAGGAATGCCACGTAGTAGGCACTGAAGAGAGAGTTGAAGAGAACTTCCTTGATCCTGCGGTTGAAGTCTGCTTTTAGGCACTCCACCTCATTGCGGATGAGATCTGGGGAAAGGGGGCAGCTGTGGGTGGGGATAGACGTAGGATTATTGAACTGTTCTCTCAGGGATTCCCACAGAAGCGAGAAGAAATCTTTGACCAGGCTGCTGACAGCTGAAGCCCCATCATCTGCCACCTGGTCCTGTACCAAGTATCCACAGTCTGCAGGTAGAGGCTGTGCTCTGCTGTCCTGGTGGAAGCAGCACAGAGGGACGTAGACACCAAACCTGCCATGAAAGAAAAAACAATGGTTGAAATGACAGCCATCCCAACAGGAAGCGAGGGGCACCTTCTCAACAGATGCTGGCCCTTAGGAGAGTGATACCACATAGGAACCCTCACTCCAGAAGCTAGTGGCCAACTCTTCTCTGCCCTAAAGGGCCAGAGGCTGCAGTTTCAACAATTGGGCAGAGAAGCTTCTTTAAATCCCACTTGTAGAACCAACCATCTCAATGGCTCAGTCTTCAAGTGGTAGTAAAGGCCTCTCACACAAACAGCAACTGAGGCAATTTGCTTCATCAGCTCAGTGCCACCTTCTCGCACCACCCCTCAGCCCCTCCTGCCTCCCTTCTAATTTAAGTTGAGGAAACAGACCACAGCCAAGAGCTCTGCTTCCCATGGTGGCTTGTGTCACACCCAAGCAGCTGTGCTCCCCCTGCCCAGAAGGTGGTGTCACTCACGGGTAGCCCAGGAAGAGAAGGTTGAGAACAGAATGGCTGCGGAAGAGGTTGACCAAAGTCCAGCAGAGCACCCATCCACAGAGGGTGAGCAGCACCAGGCGCACCATGTAGTGAACCACTGATGTCGCACCCACCTGAGAGGCCTGCAAATGGAGAAGAAACACTCAGCAGCCCTGTAACACTGGTGTTAGAAGACAAGCACAAGGGCTGCCTGTGGAGGAGCAGCAGGGAGAGGGGTGCCAGGAGGTACTGTAAGAGGGATAGCTGCCCTCTTGCTCCCAGAAGCAGGAAACTGATCGTCTTACAAAGGTAAATGCCTTTGATTTTATTAATGATTGACAGAATCCAAGATTCAAATAATCACAAGTTGTGGGGCATGACTAAAATAGGGCCTTTAAAAAAAAATTCAGAGCTGCAAAGTAGAAAAATATTTTTGCTTAAGTCCCTTATTGCTCTGATAATAGTCCGGGATAGCCTGAAACCCAATTCCTCCTGCTCTTTCCTTTCAGTCTCAGCATTCTGGAAGGTCACAGTTCTCAGCCAAGGGAAGAGAAGATGGTGCACCCTGGCAATCCCAAAAACAGATTTCCAAGACTCATCTCTATTGGATGTACAGGCTGCAGTCTAGTGAGGAAGCATCACAGCAAGAAAGCTTGTTCCAGTCTCCAGAGGGGAGAAGGAAACTGAAAAGACAGAGGGTTAGAGCCAATAGATGGGATGTGCAAGAACTTGCATGGAAGGTTTCAATGCAGAAATTTCAGTCTATGAAAGTTTTACGGAGGATGTGAACACAAATGAAAATGGCAGGAATCAGATTAAAAGAGAACTTCAGAGATCCCATCTTCTCCATTCATCTATTCAACAGGACATAACTGTTCTTTTATTTACCTTTTTTACAACACCTCTTAGTTGCTTAGCCTAGACTTCTATTAACCACTTCAGTTGTCAAAACTTCCATTTTCCTCAAACTGACTTTTACAAAGGTCTGTTTTGCCAAGTTCTGCTCTCACAAACACAGAGAAGGTCTCAAAATCTGTGGTGACATGACCAGAGTCTGAGTTATTGAGTAACCAGGACTGGAAAAGCAGTTCTACCAGCATTCCTATTTCACTTCAGTGTACTCAGACATCCTCCTCCTGACCTTTCCCCCTCTAATCTCCAGTTCATTATTCCAGTCTTGGTTAACCTCCCTATTTGCCTTTTTGCTACCTGACTTGCAATTCTCTTGGCCACTTCTCTAACACAAGATTGTGGGGTACAGTACTGTGCCTGCAAAGATAATAAGCAAGAGGGACCATTTAATCTCCTTCTAGTTGCAGAGGCAACAGAGCTACCCAATACTGCAGGAGATGAATGGTCTCCAGGAAAAATCTCCAAGGCAGGGCACCACCAAAATCTTAGTCCTTCAAATGCAGACTCTTCTGAGGGAAGAAACCCTCCAACTTGCAGAACTTTCTTAGGCCAGGGATGGTCATGTTCTGCAGTAAGTACTGCAGGCAGGAGAGGGAACATTGGGAATGTTACCTCAGAGATGAGGGCCCACACCAGCCTCCGTGCCAGCATCACTGTGATGAACGCCGCCAGGTGGTAGTCAATGAGGTGAAAATTCTGAAGGAGGAAAGAAGAAAGGTCTTCACCAGGAAAAGGGACTCTAAAACCACCCAGATGGGGTGGGACTAGAAAACTGGCTGCTAGAGAGTATACTAGGATCTCATGTAAGCATTTCCCTAATCTCTCTATTAGGGATGAGAGAAAAGGGATAAACATTAGTAACACAGGAATGTCTCCAAGAAGCAAGATCTTTTCCACAGGGAGGTTCTTTCCCATGGAGAGATCTGCACAGAAAACAAAACAAATCTACCCTTCAGGCAGGTATTTTTGGGGTCAAAGGGACATCGAGGACCAGAATCCTACTATGGAGAACAGGTTACAGGTTCTCCAGGGAAAAGCCCCTGAGCAATCAGAGCAAGGGCAGCCGAAACGGAGTCCAGAGTGAGCACACCAGCTCACTTTCCTTCTTGGTCTCAAAAATGGTCTGTAGCAACAACTGTACCCTGATGAAGTGAGAAATGTCATCTTCACAGGTCACAAATCTGTATTAGAAGTTTAATGTTGAGTCTGGCTGCATCAAGTTAGATACAGTTCTCACAATTTTTCAGTGAAGCCATCAAATATATCCTGGCTAGAACAGTTAGCAGACTCTGAATACTGCTGTTTGGGATTTCAAGGACATTTTGGGTAAAAAAGAATGGTTGAGTTGTGATGGGAACAAATGACTATTAAATCCTTCCAGGCAGGGAGCCCAAAACAGAACGCTTTTACTTCTAAGCAAGCTGCGTCCGACATCGCAGAGCTGAGCTGGAACACCAGCACCACCTGTCGGTACAGGTAACTGAGGAACCACCTCACACTTCCAAGCAGCCCTAAGGACACAATACCAGCTGCAGAGGCTGGCTTCACTCACGCATGCCCACTGACTCAGGTACAGGTCACTGCCAGGTCGCGTAGCCTACTGCGCGAGACTGAAACTGAGGAGACTGGTAGCTTTACATAATTTGAGGATCTAAACCCCTCCCCAACTCTGCTGCTGACCTGCTGTGAAATCCTAATGTAAACTTGCATATCTTCCTTCTTCAGGCTCTGTTGTTTCCACTGGAAACTCCGTTTCAAACCCTAGGAGCTAGCTAGGCCATGCAAGTATCTGCAAGAAATTTCCCCTGAAGAAGTCCTGCTGATTCCTCTCTCTCATCTGCCATGTATTTTCTCCCCTGTAAAATGGGGAATGACATGGCCCTGGATGATGGGGGTGCATGTGAACTCCCATCCATTCCCTTAATGTCTAATGCTTGGTGATTCCTGGACTGAAGCAGCATGAAAAGCAGCTGTGTAATGAAAAAGCACGAGTGATGGCACTTGCTGGGGAACTCACCAGTGAGGTGCAGGAAGCAGGGTGATTGTATGGGTACCACCAGACAGTCTTGTAGATGTTGATGTACTGAATGAAGAGGGCTACCAGTAGGTAGATGAAGAACAGGAATTCAAAGAGAAGGCTCCCATCCAACGGCAGTTCAGGGATCCGGCAGTGACGCACAGGCTCTGGAGTAATCAGCGCTGTGATCGGAGGCGCAGAGAGGCTGATGGCACTACCATTCCTGAAGCAGATGGGTATCACTCACTTGGTAAACATTCTACATCATCTCTAACATTTTCCAGGACAGAGTATGCTTGAGGTTGTAAATTGGAGACTGGGCATTACTAGAGGAAAGGTGGTGACAGCAGTCTTGCATTTATACTTCTGACATGAGACTGGTGGTGAGCTTCATCATCTTAGCTCAGACAAAACCCTTGTCCAGCATTTTCTCTGGACAACTGATTGAGCTGCCAGAAGTGCTGTGACATGCCCAGCAATATTTCAGTAAACTTGCAGACTGAGGAGCAGAGGTACAGAGGAAAACTCATTGAGGACTCTGTGCCACATCCAGCACTTAATGTTGGCTCTTTTCACCCATCACCAAGACATTACAGTAGCACCCAGCCTCCTTCTCCAGTACTGCAAAGTGCCCACTGTCTTTCTGCTCACAGTTCCTCTTTTTAAAAGAGGGGTAACTAAAAATGGAATGAAGTAGTTCAGCCACTTCCTAGAGGCTGACCTGTCAAGTGTTCTCACACTTCCTTCTTTCCTAGGTTTCAGAGGAGGCTAGGACAACTAAAAGCTCTGGCAGACTGAAGTGATGGAGGAAGCTCAGACATAACTATGTTGTGTCTGAAATCAGGATAAGCAAGGACCTAGGCACTGCCTCTATGGTCTCTACAGTTACTTGCTCCTCAAGAACCTCAGACTGTACCATTTGTTCATCTGTCCCAGACAGAGAAGTCTGTACAGGACAAAGCTACATGGCTCGGATTGCTCTAATTTGTAAGAATGAATCTATACCAGGGCCTCTGCATGTAGCAAATAGATTTTCTACTTTGCCAACTTTTCTATGGAAGGAAGTAACACTGGGCCCTTTCAGTTTTCATATCAAACATGGAGATCTAAATGTCACTATGTGTTCCTGTTTCAGCCCCCAACTTCCCCAGAAAATGGAGATGATCTTTGCCAACTGTGAGAATTAGTTGAATCTGCAGCCAGCAGGTCCAAAACAGAAGGGCATCCCCTTGCCCTGCCTTTCTATTATGCGGGAGGAGAAGTCACAGCTGTGCTCTGACATGTCACACTAATTCCCTGTGGCACTGCAGGCAAGCAAGAGACAAGGACTCATCATTTGCTAGGACTCATTGCTCTGGGAACTGCTGCAGGAAAGACAAACAGAGCACTGTGCAATTTCCACCCCTGGCTGTTGTGACCACAGCAAGCACTGAAGGGAGGCTGAGACCACTTCCACAATCCTCCCCATGGGGCTGATTTTACTGCATGAAGTCAAGAGAGGGACCACAGAGGGCAGCATGTGCCACGGCAGAGCTGAGAAGAGAAGCTGGAACAGAGGTTTGTCACACATGACACGTTCCCTCTTGGATGAGTCACCTCCTAATGCCGCAGCAGGGGCTCAAAGTTCCCATCTCCCAGTTCCTTGCTTTCACCACAAAGCCACCCTCCTGCGCAGAGTTCAGAGTGGATTAAATCCCTTGTTTTTAGTGCTGTCCAAGCCACAAGGGTCTCAACAACCCCACCTTTGTCCTCACCTGTTTCTCAAACCGGTACCGTTTCCGCAGCTCCCGCCAACCAGCGTCTGGAGAGAAGGCAAAGCTGAACGGCTTAGCTGCTGCCGGCTGGGTCCCCTCCTTCCACCGGGCATGACCAGGAACCAGTCCGCTTCCAGTGCCTCCGGCAGGCTGTGCCCCGAGACCCAGACAACGATCCAAAAGCCTTCTCAAGTCTGCAAAGGAAGCAGAAACATTAGTTAAGGTGCAAACTGCTGTTCACGTAGTTCACGCTGCAGCCAAGCAAATTCATGCAAAGCGAAGTTACTCTCACACACTCAGAGCCCTGTGGGACAGCCATCACCACCCTAAAACACTGTGCCATTTCAGTGGCACCCGATCAGCCTCTGCTTGCACATGCAGAATGAACACCACTGACACTGTGTCTTTAAAAAGGGGCTGCTTAAATCAGCCATCAGTGACTACTAGCACTTCCTGCTGGCTAGAAAGCACCACTGAGCATCTGCAGTGCTGGAGGCAGCATAACTGTGTGTTTCATTTCAAAAGCAAGCCTGGGAAGAGCCCTCTCCGTGTTGTGGTGGAGCTATTAGAGCTTCACAGGTCTTTTTAACCATCCAACATGTTACTTCACAGGCTCTGATGCTGCTAGGTAATCTGGATGCCCTCTGGCAGAGGTCTAAACAGACAGGCTGGTCTCCATGAAGGTATCTGCATGGTTCAGCTCTCTTCCGTGCTAAGATCGCCTGACTGACACGAAGGTAGGAGGTCCATTTAAAAGTAGTTTTAGTTAGCAGAGTAGTGCAGCAAAACACACATGTTATGCATCCACTTCAAATGCACGTATAGGCACTCACATGACCCAGCCCTTCAAAGAAAAATAATTTAATAGTAAGCTTATAAATATTTATTTATTTTTAATGACACATTTAAATCTATCAGTTCCTTAAAATGAATTAGTACGAGAGAGACTGGGCAACTCAGAATATCAGTAACAATGGTGGATTCTCTGGCACACCCTTTATCACTTCCCGTACAGTTTTGCTTCTATTTCATTGGTCTCCCACATGACACTGCAAGGATTTCGGCAGTCAGGTAAGTTTCTGATGGCTAGCAGACATAAGGAAGTGAGGGACTGGAGTGTAAATCTGCAAGTCACTCCAAGTACATGTGCTGTACAGAAACAAGACACTGAGCGAGCATCTCACTCCAAGGACTTTGGTGTGTCTGCGAGTCCAGAGACTAATCAGCTGCCCTTTTGGAAAAATATCATACCCAGAACCAATCCAAGGTCCAAAAAAGCACCCACACCTTCTGGGAAGCTCTAGATCTAGCTTTGAAATCTACAGATGGAACCTATCATCTATTTATAATTCAGTTATCACCTCCTTTAAAATCATGAGAAATCGCGGCTGGCAGAAATGCCAGGAAGTCTCCTCAGTGAGTCACACCACTGTCGCCATGAACACAGTGTGCAGGAGAATTACTCTAAAAAACCTCCCTCAAAGAATTATCCTTTGTATTAAAATTTCCCATCCTTCATCTCTACTCTAACAACCAACTGTTGGGGTTGAAACTAGGATACCAGTTCTCAAATTTTCAACAAAAATCCAAGATGTTTCAAAAGATGAATGCTTTCCACATATCAACATGAAGATCACTTGCAAAAAAAAACCCAACACCCAAACCCAAAAAAACCCAAACCAAAACAACAAAACCACAACAAAAAACAGAGATCCTGGAGACAGGGGGAAAAAAAAAAGGAAAAGGAGATGTGAAAATGCATGAAAGGAAAGCAAACATTGGGCAATTTGGGTTTGGAGGAAAATAATGTATTTTGGCAGACTTTAAAACTCTCATTATAATTCCAATGACAATACAGCAGAGAATTGAAGCCTTCCTTACCTTTCTAGTCAAGACTCTAAAGCTTTCAGACAATTTTCTCTAGGATGTTCTAGAGTTTTATTTGGGAATATTTCTATGTCAGGAATTCAATATAAACAGAAGAAAATTCTCCTGCATGCACAAGATGAGCAGGGGTAGCAACAAACAATGCTGAATTCACTTAGGGCACCCAGACTTTTGATAAGCAGCTAAAGTGAAGGAAAAAAAATGAGAAAAACCTCTAAAAAGGAACAAACTTGAAAGACATTTTAAGCCAAATTTAACTACTACAGGGACTGTGAAAGCTAAAACAACTGGTCTAATTCAATCTACAGGATATTTATGATAATGGATGCAACATGTTGGTGGTCTAATTAGTGCTATTAACAGTGGAAGGTATTTTATGCCACATTCAATAATTAATGTAAATAATTTAACAGGTCTCATTAGTATCATCCCATTAGTATGCCTCACACACTCTCCAATGCAGGCACTTGGACACTAAGGAATTGCACTTCTACCCTCTGGTTTTGCAAACCAGTAAAATGCAGAGTTTCTACCAGTAAAACAGACTGCCCGTGGAAAGCAGCCATCCTTAACATCAGTGCACATATTTTAAATGCACTTGAATAAGCCCTTTCACAGTGATCCATGAACATATAGACTGGGCAGTTCCTCAATCAAGCTTTAAATAACTTTTACTTCACTGGAGTTAGATCAAATTAGGTAGGCGTCTGTTAGAGCAAAATCTGCCTAAGAGCCATTCCTTTTTTGTTTGCCTTTGTTTTGTAAAACTTGCCACACAAAACTGAAGCTCCACAGATAAAGCTAAACAAAGCAGTGAGATTACAGATCAGTTCGACTCTAAGTCTGCTTTTTTTGGCCTTGAACCAATCAACAGCTTTCATTTTTGAGGAGAGAGGCATGGGGAAAAGCATTTTTATACCTTTCAATTAATAAACAAAGGCATGATTCTACTTTGAAAAATATGTGAACAAGAAAAAAAAGTGTCCATAACCCTTTATTTCAACAGATAAGATTCCTGTGCGCATCTGAGTCATATTAAGTATTAATGAAGTCTACAGGCTCCCTTCTCTGTTTGCAGTACCCACCCCATCAGCGATCTTATTTTATATAGAGTCATGCAGAAAAAGTGAGTAATGAAAGATAAAAGCTCTTCCTGACAGGCCTCTTTAGTCTATTAATATGATTCCACATTGTTCTTTCCAGTTCACCTACAATTTCCCCTCAAAAAATTAGTCACATACTAGTAGTCCCTTCATCCTCAAATCCTCAGAACTGAAACTACCCATATTCCAAGATCTCCTCTCCCAGGCAGATGTGGGCATCATAAAAACAGACAAGCAGGATCTGGGGACCAGCTACAGAACAACAGACAGTGGGTCCAGGGACTGGGTGTGGGTATGGACAGCTCTTGGTCCTAGGACAGACCATGCTCTTTCATATGTGACATAGTTATAAGAAGATCCAGAAACAGGGCACAAGACCCTCTGATTTCCAATTCTTCCTTTCAGAACCACAGTAAAGGACCACTTGGTCATTTTGTTTCTCTGCACCAACACCCCTCCTGCCCATCAGCTCCCCTGCTATCCCGCTGAGGCAGGATCAAGGCAGGCAAGAGCTACAGCTGTGTGCAAGGCTTTACTGATAAAGAGCTAGGCAGACGAATTATCCTCCAGTTCAGAGGTGAAGCAGCATGCAGCCCTGTCCTGCTCCCCAGGGACCATCACTCAGAATCATGTTCCTGCATCAGCAGCTGCCCAAACAGCTCTTTCAAGAGGCAAATCAGGAGAGAGTCAGTGACTCATCAGAATGGAAAGTCTGCCTGGTTCCCCATCTCTTTGCCGCAAACACTACAATGCTCAGCCAGTTATTTTGATGGCGTTAACATTTTTTAATTGGAGAAAACTCTGAGCCTCCAGTCCCTCGGGAAGCTCACTGCACCAAGGCACAAGAACTCTCAGAGGCTGGAAAACATTCAAGAGGCTCTTCTTGGCTCCACAAGACCTACAACCAGATACACTCAAGAGCAGAAAGGGAAATGTGACCATCCTCACTTGCAGCAATGTGGCTCAAGAAGACCACAGGTCTCTCATTGCAACTCTCCATCTCGATTAAAGCAGCCCTTTCCTGCTGGGTCAGCATGTGACATCTGGGGGTGAAGCAACACGTCGCCTCTGTGGTGAGTGAGGGAGCGCTGCCTGCCTCCTCCTCAGCTACACACATGCACCCACTAAGACTTTCCATTCCGGGTGTCCGTGCTTTATGGAAACACACCTGCCACCTGTGCAGTGTTCCCTCGCAGGGAACTGCAGCAGGTCACCCCCACAACATGGCTGCAGAGCACTGACACAAAGCACAGTCTGTCTCTGAAACTGAAACAAGCAATGTAAAAAGGTCTCTTGGTTACCAATGTCCTCAATTCAAGTTGCTGTAGCTGGTCAACCTAATCCCAAACTTGCATTTGTCCAGCAATCCTAATGTCTTTGCAAATTATCAGCAAATCTACCTTACAGACAAGTTTTCTTTTGAACTTTGAACATTGAGAGTCCCAGTTACTACAGGGTATTTTTATTTCCTTTTAGTGTGAACCATTTATTTATTTATTTATTTAAATTAAAAAATAATAATAATTTGAAAAACACAACAAAACAAAAAAACTCCCACCTGTTTTGACAGCTGGAAAAACTGAGACACAAAGCTGGTAACCAAATTCACCCAACATAATGCCAAAAAGAAAAAACAATCGTAAGAGAGCCTGGGAACAGTGATGGCAGAACCCGAGCACCCTCACATCTGCCACACCGAAAGCTAAGAAGCTGCAAAACTTCTGTGGAAGCCCTAACTTGGTCTAGGAATAAAATAAGCATTTGGTTGTTGTGAGAGAGGAAACAACCTACAGGTTATCAGATGGAAAGCTAAATATTTGGCTTGCGCAGAGCTGCCCCAGTGCTAAGTCAACACAACCTTTCAACTCAGGCTGGCTCCAAAGGCACACACCCGCCACCTGGCCCAGAGCTGGGAGGCAAAACCGGTTAGGACGGAGGTCTCCAAGTCGGCATATTTTCCAAGCCCTCATGCCATACACAGCAATGGATCAAGAGGGAGATTTGGTAGAGAGAGACAGAAACCCCCCTGAAGTGCAGCTCAGACTCCATCAAACAGGACAAGAGTGAGTAGTGAATCACCCCTGTCAGGTGATGCACCAGCAAGACTAATTTTCACTCCATGACTAAGAATCAAGAACCTCCTCTGTAATAACAAAACCAACCCATCAAGACAAGGTCAGTGTAGGCTTTTCTGATAAAGCACA